AAAAAAAAAAAAAAGAAGCAGAAATAAAATTGTGTACAGTGTAATTATTAACATAAAGTTCAAAATGGGGACAAATTAAACTGTATTGTATAGGAATATGTATACTACTTGTAAAGAAAAGCAAAGAAATTATTACCATAAATGGCAAAATAATGAATCCTTCTGTGGGGAGAGGTGGAGTTATAATCAAAGACCTGGGTGGTAGTTATGTGGGTGTTCGTTTTATAAACATTAAGTAAGCTTGACATCAATTAATCTATTTTAATGCATCTTCTACGAGTATGTTATATTTCACAATAAAAATGGAGATAACTAAATTAATTACCAAAACTATTACTCAACTAATTAGAGCAATTAAGACAGTACAATATTGCAGAGACAGACAATTAGGCCAATGAAACAGAAAAAAAAGAGACACATATATGAATCACATGATGTGTATCAGATGTGTCACTACAAAGACAGGCTTCTTTTCTTTTCTTTTTTTTCTTTTTTTTTTTGAGATGAAGTCTTGCTCTGTCTCCAGGCTGGAGTGCAGTGGCACAATCCCGGCTCACTGCAACTTCCGCCCCCGGGTTCAACCGATTCTTCTGCCTCAGCTTCCTGAGTAGCTGGGACCACAGGCGCGTGCCACCACGCCCGGCTAATTTTTGTATTTTTAGTAGAGACAGGGTTTCTCTATGTTGGCCAGGCTGGTCTCAAACACCTGACCTCATGATCTACCCGCCTTGGCCTCCTGAAGTGCCAGGATTACAGATGTGAGCCACTGCCCGCCCCCCGGCCAAGACAAAGGCTTTTAATGACAAATGATGTAAAACAATAGGGTCTTTACATGTAAAAAACATTTCAGACCTCTACCTCACACCATACACAAAAATCTACTCCTGGTTGATTGAAGACCTAAATGTAAAAGTTAAAAGCTAAAAAGACATTTTGGAATAACATAAGTGAATATCTTTATGATCTTCAGGTAGAAGAAGAGTTCTTAAACAAGACACAAAAAGCAAAAGGAAAAGTCCAAGGGAAAAGACTGATAAATTTGAATTGAGTACAATTTAAGAACTTCTATCTATTCAAAGCCACTATAAAGTTTGAAAAGCGGCTGGGTGTGGTGGTTCACGACTGTAATCCCAGCACTTTGGGAGGCCGAGGTGGGTGTGGATTACTTGAGGTCAGAAGTTTGAGACCAGCCTGGCCAACATGGTGAAACCCTGTCTCTACTAAAAATACAAAAATTAGCCAGTCATGTTGGTGTGGACCTATAGTCCCAGCTACTCGGGAGCCTGAGGCAGGAGAATCACTTGAACCAGCAGGTGGAGGTTGCAAAGGGCCAAGATCACACCACTATACTCCAGCCTGGGAGGCAGAGCAAGATGCTATCTCAAAAAATAAAATAAAACAAAAAGATTGAAAAGCAAATCACAGAATGGGAGATACTTGCAACATAATACACAAAAAAGGATTTATTTATAATATACATACTCCTATAAAACCATAAAAAAATAACTAGACAATGGTGCTCAATATTATTAGTAATAAATAAAGTGGAAAATGAAATTGAAATGAGTTACCACCATACACACTAATATTAAAAATCTGGCAGTATCATGTGCTAGCATAGATGTGGATAATGGGAACTGTCATACATTGTTGGTAGGAGTATAAATTCCACAATCATTTGAAAAAGTTTGGCATTATTCAGTAAATGCCCTAGAAGTTGTAATTCAGTCTATGTATTCTTGAGAAACTTGTAAATCTGTGTACCAGGAGACATGTACAAGAATATTCATAGTGGCTGGGTGAGGTGGTCACGCCTGTAATCCCAGCACTTTTGGGAGGCCGAGGCAGGTGGATCTCGAGGTCAAGAGATCAAGACCATCCTGGCCAACATGATAAAACCCCGTCTCTGCTAAAAATACAAAAATATTAGCTGGGCATGATGGTGTGTGCCTCTAGTCTCAGCTACTTGGGAGACTGAGGCAGGAGGATCGCTTGAACCCAGGAGGTGGAGGTTTCAGTGAGCTGAGATTGCGCCATTGCACTCCAGCCTGGCGACAGAACAAGACTGCGTCTCGCCAGGCGTGGTGGCTCAAGACTGTATTCCCAGCACTTTGGGAGGCCGAGGCGGGTGGATCATGAGGTCAAGAGATTGAGACCATCCTGGTCAACACGGTGAAACCCCGTCTCTACTAAAAATACAAAAAATTAGCTGGGCATGGTGGTGCGTGCCTGTAATCCCAG